TAGAATTAATTAATTAATTAAAGTGTTTAATTATTTATTAATTTTATTGGAGCTCGGGATTATAGGTCCATTAGTCCCCGCATCGTCCTTGTAATTCTACCAGATACAAAGGACAAAATAGAAATTTTAGAATTATGGAATTCTAAAATTAAATACTCGAAAAATAATTAATTGAGAATTAATTATTATTAAAATAATGTTATTATTTAAATTTGAATTTGAATCATGAACATAATTTAAATTTATCATTTTAAACTTATTTGATAAGTTGTTCAATTTAAAATTCAAATTAATTTAAGTTTGACTTAAATTCGAATTTGAATTTGAATTAGAATTGGACTACAGGATAAAGGATGATTTTCTCTTCCTTCCCTATCTGAGATTGGCGCCACACACAGGGTAAAAACCCTAGCATGGCCGGCCACAAGAGATAAGGTAGAGGAGAATTTTTTGTTCAAAATTCAAGCAGGAGAGAGAGATTTGATTCATTCCAGAAGTTGGACTTCTACTCTATAAATAAGATATGATGAAAAATTGCGCGTGATAATTTTTTAACCTAACTTAGAGGGGCTGGCCGAAATCCCTATTATAGAGAGAAGGAAATATTTTTTTTCCAAAAAAAAAAAAATTCCACATCGTCCATGCGTCAGTGTTTGTGGAAAATTCGAGTGTTTGATCAAACTTGTTTTAGTCTCGAGTGTGCCCACACACACGTCTATGTAGATTCAAGGAATTGACGTGAAAGACTTTAGTTTTCTAAACACAAGGCTTTGGAGCAAGGATCGTTCGTGGTCAAAGAACTCAAGTTATCATCTGAGTTAGCCTTCAAGTATTTTTTCTAATTGAGTTCTTGATATATAAATTAATGTGATTAATTTATTCGTGCATAAATTAATATAATTTATAAAGTATCTCAAAAGTTTTATAAAAATTTTTCTTATACTTGATCCGCCCTCCCGCCACACTTCCGCATCCGAATTCGATTCGGTTACCAACAATATCTTCGGAGGACTAGAAATTATATGCTGGTATATTCCGGGAAGGATTTGACACCTCTAGGATATACAGACTCAGATTTTCAATCCTGTTTGGATTCTAGGAAATTGACTTCGGGTTTTGTCTTTACTCTGGGAGGTGGTTTCGTCGTTTGGAGGAGTGTCAAGCAAACTTGCACTTCTAACTTAATGATGGAAGCCGAGTATGTGGTAGCTAGTGATACTTCAAAAGAAACAGTATGGCTCTGCAAATTTGTGATGGATCTTGAAGCAGTTCCTAGTCTGGATAAGCCATTGAGACTATACTGTGATAACAGTGCGGCAATAGCTAACACTAAAGAACCAAGATATCATAAAATGAGTAAGCACATTGACAGGAGGTATCACGTGATAAGAAGCTTTATTAAAGAAGGGTAAGTGGAAATATGCAAGATCACGGCGCATGACAATCTGGCTGACCCGTTCACGAAGGCCCTGGTCGAGGCTATGGGAATGTGTAGCATGTCACATTTACTCACTTAAGTGCAAGTGGGAGAATGTTAGCGTTTATGCCCTTAGGAATAAATGTAACAATGTTCTTTGAGATATTTTGACTATTAATAAAGATTTATTTATTTCATATATCTATGTATTGTCCTCTTTATGTTCATAATAGTTGAATGTATAATAAGCAAACTAAAAGTCTGAGACTGTCATTCTAAATCTTTAGGTCATACATGTAATGTAAAGAACATGTGGAAGACATGAATCTAAAGATGATAGTCTAAATCATATGATCCACAATCAAGGGAATAAAGTTGGGCGCTTTATTTATATTAAGATTGTTATGTTGTCTACTTCCTAACGGAGATGGCTTGTCTT